AGTTATATAATCCCAATATAAATTAGGTATAACAACCGTTACATTACATGTTATTCCCATGTTATATAGCAGTTATATTCTGTGTTTGCTGGGTTGTTACTTTTATATATTTTGAAAAGGGCATAATCTTGTCATCAATATAAATATTAATATGTAAATTTGGGAACACAGCAACTCTTTTTCTGACACTGAAATCACTTTCTGCCTTCATAAAACCAAAAAATGTATCGTTTCCTCTTGAAAATCCCCAATTCGAAGAAGGCCGTTCGACTAAATTCAAATTTCTTTGCAAATATTTGAATTTTAATTCATCTGTCTCATGCTCTATATTCTTTGAGTTTTCTTCCATTATACTGAAAAAATACTATGCATTATTCACTTTTACTTAATCAAAAGTTTACTTGTTTACTTCTATTACTTACCTTTCTGTTTTATTGCTTTCGACGAGGATATTTTCCATCTCCCGCTGTCAAAATACGTTATAACAATGCACACAATAAAAGAAACTCTTTTTTAATGCTCTCAGTTTATTTGGCTTTATAATCGCAAATCGGAGCAACAAACATGTACAGCGATCTTAGAACATATATAAATGGAAGGGGAATAGCAGGCTAAAAAAGTGTCGGAAGGAAGTGAGAAAGAAATCGTAGTTGCCTCTCTTTTTTGAGCAAAGTAACTCACAAGAGAGAGGCAACTACAATTTCTTTCTTACTTCCTTTCGACATGTTTTTCTATCGGGAAACAAAGGCATTCCCCTTCCATTTATATATGTTCTAAGACAGCGATGCAACATGTACAGCTGATCACGACACTGCTTTAGGTTAGCTTTAAATATGGCGTCCATCCATGAGAAACTATTCCCTTCAGCGGACTCCCTCTCAATTAGGGGTCACGAATCAGGGCCATTTTTTCTACCCGCGCGCTATCAAGTTCGATCTCCTTCTCTCTTACTTCATGCTATGGACGTATTATACATAGTTTCATCCATAGACATAGTATATCTAGACCGAGCTGATGGTCTTATAGGATTTAGCATATTACTGGAAAAAAACTCGCCACGCGGTACTGTAGGTAAGTAAATCTTTGCATTGTCGATAATAAAACAGTAAATTTACGATAAAATGTTGATGTTGTTCTTGAGACAGTTATATGAAAGATCTATACATTTTTGATAATAAAACAATAACTGGATTAACTAAAATAACGCGTAGCGAGTTTTTTTTTTCAGTCACACTAAATCCCATAAGACCACCGGTCTTTAGTGATATCTCGTCGGTGACCGAGCGTTTGCTTTTATTTAAGGAGTGGGGGTAAAGATGCACGTAGAAAAGGACATACTCTGTTTCGTGCCCCTTGCGTTCTCTCTCGCTCGCACGTAGCATAGCGTACTCTTTCGCTATGCTACATGCGAGTGAGAGAGAACGCAAGAGGCACGGAACAGAGTTATGTCCTTTTCTACGTGCACCTTGGCCCTCACTTCTCAACACTCGGTCTAGATATACTATGTTTATGGTTTCATCCATGTATGAAACCCATGTATAATACGTTATGTATAATACGTGGCCAACCCTGGTGACGACGGTCTGTGGCTGCGATCGATAAAACACCCACTAACCTCAACGACGACAACGATGCCTAGAAAGAATACGGCTGCCGCCGCGTCCTCCGCGACAACCGTCCCGTCCTCCGCAACAACTGTCGCGTCCTCCGCAACAACCGTTCCGTCCTCCGCGACAACCGTCTCGTCCTCCGCGACAACCATCCCGTCCTCCGCGACAACCGTCCCGTCCTCCGCGACAACCGTCTTGTCCTCCGCAACAACCATCCCGTCCTCCGCGACAACCGTCCCGTCTTTTGCGATAACTGCTGCGTCCTCCACGACAACCGCCGCCTCGTCGTTGTGGAGCAGCATCCAATCGCCGCCGAGCACGTTGACGCCGATCGTCGATCGATGGCCAGGCAACCCACTCAATCTCAACGATCGTCTGGCATCTTACATCGAAACGATGCGTTATCTCGAATTAGAGAACTCGCGGTTGAAGCGGGAGGTGCAAACCACCCAGGAAACTTTCACTCGGGAAATGTCCAACATCGAGGCCGTACTCTCTAACAAACGGAAGCTGCTCGACGATGCGGACACGGAACGCGTCACGCTCGAGCTCAATATCAAACGCTTGGTACCGTTGTTTAATGAAAATAAGTGCACTGCAGTAGTAACGTTCGGATTTCAATACTATAGAGCCTATGCTATGTATTAAAAAATAACAGATATTAATACAAGAATGTTGAAGTACTTAAAATGTGAGTATGACTAACATTTTTATTTAACGTATGTTCTCTAGATTGGAGAAGAAGACAAAGAATTTGCAGATGGCAGAGCAAAATGCAATGATACATGAAAAACACTGCAGTGACTTGCAATCGCGGGCGAAGTGCAAGAAACTTACAGAGAAACAAAGTGATCGATCGAAAGCATTGCTCGATGCTTTGAAGCACCAGGAGAAAGAGCAAATCGATTTTACAAATGTTGTCATATCACGTGTCTTGTGCATATCATGGACAAGACCTATAAAGGGAAGCATATTTCTGCCGCAAATGGCAGCGTACATACAAACACAGAGACAGCTAGATTTTAGCGATATTATCCGTCAGGCATTGATGGAGGTTTTATGCATGTTTTCGAGAAGGGAAGTTCCTTTGATGGCTCCTTCACCTTATCGATTCTCGCTGATTCTATTAGTCGAAAACAACATCTTATCAGAACCGAAAAGTCTTATTTATTTATTAGATTGTTATTCAAGAGTTGCAATTGAAGAAAAAAATTATGGAAAGGTACGCACACACACATACATCTTCAAAATTAGACAAGATTTTATTAAACTAATTCTTTTTTATATATTTTATAGCAATCCAGTGTACCTCCTCTTTCCAATGTACTGACAATTTTAAAAGCGCAATGTGTTCAGTATTCCAGCCTTGTTCTACAAGGGTTAATCGGCATTTGCCAAGCTGCTGTCATACCTATGTGTATCACTCATTTTGGCAACCTGATATTATTGCAGAACTTACCTCGGGGCTATCTTCGCGAGTTCGTGGCTACTATATACACCAATCAGGACACATTCAATAAAATTTTCACTCCAGTCTTACAAAAGCTATATCTCGCGCTGCAGAAGGCGAGCTTGTTCAGCGAGACGCTGAAGAATGGCGAAAATAGAAAAGCGATCGAGGTGCTAAGTTAATTGATAGATATTCGCTGTGGATCAAACGGCAATATACATCCGATTTGCCATTTGATAACGAATCAAATTCAATTCTTGCCTGATGTTATGACATCAGCAGCCGAAATAGAACTCACGAGAATCTCATTCTTTGGACAGTTTCTCTCCGTATTGATATGTGCCGAAGTGCAACCGAAACTGGCGGAGGAACTCTTCAGCGAAAATGTTTCTCTTACCATGAACACGGCGTATCTCATATTGCAGGAAAGGTTGGAGAATATCAGAATGTCGTTGCACAAGATGTTTGATGCGATATTCGCGAATAGTAGCTGCCGCGATGCCACTCTTGCGTACTTGGCGGCGTTGCTGCGTCACAACAAGAAACGCATGCAAATACAGACGGAGGACAATCCCTCCTTGGCCGGAGATGGATTTATGTTGAATCTATTATCGATTTTGCAAATGCTCTCTGCGAACATCAAGCTGGATACTGTAGACCCGCTATATCCATTTCATCCTTCCAGTTTCATCGAGATAAAGAACGACACAAGACTGAAATTCACTTCGCAAGAGGTTGTGGAATGGCAGAAACATTTGGAGAGCACACACAAGTGGACGAAACCGAAGTTTCCGACACAATGTTGGTTCCTCACGCTGCATTGTCATCACATCGCGCTGTTACCGGCGTTGCAAAACTATCGGAGAAAATTGTGTGCCTCAGAGGATTTACAAGAAATGCTCGACGAATTGCAAACCACAGAACCCCAATGGAAAGATGGTCCTTTAGTGGAGTACAATAGAGACTTGATCAAACAATGGAAGCAACAGTTGAAGCGGCTGGTTATATCCAAATCATGTGCGGAGGCAAATCTGATAGAATCCACCTTTTTTAGCAGATGCTCACACTTTTATAAATCGGTCGCCGAATTTTTGTTGAGTCTTCTAACGCAGACTGCTCCGGGTAGTTCTCTTCCCGAACTTCCGTTGTTTCAAGAAGTTACGTGCAAATTCACCGCATTACCGGAATGGTACGTGGAAGACATAGTGGAATTCTTGTTATTTACATTCGAGTAAGTTTTTACTAAATTATCAAGTCTCATAATTATACATAATCCTACATAATTCTTTGGAGCTTATTAGTAATTATAATCATTGTTTTATTTGCAGATTCTGCCCAATACGGTTTAATGCGGATAAATCGCCGCTTATCATTTTGTTACTCGACATCGTGTGTACGCCACATTGTATACGAAATCCGCATCTAATCGCAAAAATTATCGAGGTTCTTTATAATATATTTAAGTTATATAAGGTTCAGGTAGGAGTTTGTACACAGGGAACAGAAACTTTTGACCATAAATTCATGGCACACCCTATATCCAAGACATTTTTGGCGTCGTATCTCATGAAGTTTTATATCGACATTGAAACCATTAACATTAGTTCCGAATTTGAGGATAAGTTTGAATTATGTTATCACATAAGTATAATCTTAAATTCGTTGTGGCATAGCCCGATGCATCGACCGTCTATCGTCAATGAGAGTAATAACGGCAAGCACTTTGTTAAGTTTATCAACATACTGATTAACGACACCATTTTCCTGCTCGAGGAGGCTCTGGAATATCTGACGTACATACTCGAGATGGAGGAACTTATGTCCGACACTATCGCGTGGAATGCTATTTTGCAGGAGCAACAACAATCGAGAACGAGACAGCTGGCGGAGAACGAGGAACAAGCCAGATTTTCTCTTAAATTAGCCAAGGAAATAGTTGCCATGTTTCATGATTTAACAGTCAACATTAAGGAACCGTTTCTACGACCGGAATTAGTCGGACGATTGTGTGCCATGTTGAATTTCAATTTGCAACAGTTGTGCGGATCTAAGCCTGCAAATTTGACAGTGGAAAAACTGGGAAAATACGGATGGGAACCGAATCTGTTATTCTGTCAATTGATTGATATATATTTACATCTTGACTGTGATAATTTTGCGGCTGCTTTAGCGAGTGATGAAGTGAGTATCTTTTATAATATATCATATACATATATTACACATATATATGTGTGTGTGTGTGTGTGTGTGTGTGTGTAATAAATGTAGATTGCATCCGCAGTTTCAAAATGGGAAACAATATGTATATATATATATTAAATTTATTTTTGCAGCATTCGTTTTGTAACGAGTTATTCACTGACGCTGCGAGTAGACTAGAGAGATCTGCCATCAAAACTACGATGGAAATTGAGAGGTTCGTAACTCTTGCTGAGCGTGCGACGGTAATCGCGACAGACAATCGCGCGCGTGGCGACGCTCCTGAGGAATTTCGGGATCCATTAATGAACATTCTTATGGAGGATCCAATCAAGCTACCGTCTGGTATTGTTATGGACAAAGCAATTATCATTAGACATTTACTCAACAGTGCCACGGATCCTTTCAATCGGCAGCCGCTTAGCGAAGATATGCTCATGCCAAGTAAGTACATGTATTGTACATATTTTTCTCTTTTTTGATAAAGTTAAATTTCTTTTAGTCTAAATATTACATAACATGTAACATTTCATAACATTTCATAACAACGCATTTTCATATACATAAATATATTAGAAAAATATTTGATATGTCATAGATATTATAGTTTTTGACTGTCCTTTAAAGTCTATCGTATTGAAATTTTTTTAATATCTTATGCCGATTTTAAAATATGTATTATATATAAACTATTGTTATTTTGTATCCATGTAGAAATATATCTCAAATTAATATTTATTTTTGAAATTGCAGTGCCCGACTTGAAAGAAAGAATATCAATATGGAAACAACAAAAGAAATAGTACTAAGGTGACAAGAATTATACACATAAAAATAAAAATATAGGGAAGGAAAGAAAAAGGAAGAAAAAGATAAGCATAAATGCTAATATGCAGGGTATTCGAAAAGAATGGGACCCCCTATGATCTCCAGAAGTACGCACTTTCACGGAAAATGACCCGAACAAAAGTTGTAGGGGTCATGAAGGACTACCTTTTGGTGACCTTGAACTTGACCTTGAGGGTCAATTGAAGGTCAACTTAAAATTTTTTAATAAAGACCCCCATTTTTTATTGCATATTCTTGTAGCTTATCTCGAAAGTTTTTCAAAACACTATAATAAAGTATTTTTTCATTGAGTACTTTTTGAGTTATTTTATATCTTAAGGCTCCTGAGTAGTCGCCGTGAAACTCTGAGTTGACGGTGGCGACATGGGAATAAAGATGCTGCGGTAGGAATAAGAACCCTGTCCAACGATTTACCATATAAGTGAATTGTGTTACGAATTGGTCAAAAAGTTCAATTGATGAAATGAAATAATAAATATTTTGAGATACTATTTCCACATTGGGAAAATATCAGCCATATGTAACAAAAATTCATAAGTCTTGTGATAAAAATTAGATGTTGTACGTATAACAAATCATGAGGCTCTCACTACGCTGCTTAACTCTGTCAAGAATAATTAAAAGTATACAAACAAATCTAACATCAGTAACTCTCCAAACAAAATACAAGTAATGAAAAACGATAATAAAATATTTTAGGTATCAGAATTATGCGACTCATTAACTTTTCTTTGAACCGATTAAAACCGATTAAAACGGATTATGTTTTAATCGGTTTTAATCGACCATTTTCGGCAGGGATGAGATGCGTCAGATGATTCACTTGATCTTTCATATTGTGTTTCATGCAATTGCAATCTCAATCTACGTTTACGCTCCATCTCAGCTCGCCTTCTCAGGATCCGCTCATGACGATTCTACATATGAAAGAATTAAGATGTATTGTTACATTATAAAAACAATAGAAGCTATATAACCTGCAATTTACAATATTCAGATATTTTGAATTTCAGCACTTTCAATAAATGACTTCAATGCTACAAATATTGTGCACAATAGTTTTTCCTTGACGCAATGACGACAAACGACAGTTTTGATATCATATTGATATCATTTTGACTAGGCTGTTTTCACTGGATAGACGACGAAGGCACGCGCAGGTGCAGGGTCAGCGCACATGGTTTTATAATCGTAGTAGCCTAATAATTAACTACTAAACGTTGTAATTAGACTACCAATCACCACCAAACGATTGTCTTTCAGTTAAGACCAATTTGAACAAAATTGGTTGGTAAATAATATATTTGTTCGGCTAACTTTACAGCTTCCAGTTAGCCATCCCCACTATCTAACCGCACATGGTTTTTTTTTACTTTTTGGATAAATTATGGACCACCAAACGTTGTAAATAAAGGATTTGTGACCACCTAACGATTCTGCATTAAATAAGCCTTGATTAAATCGATTAGACTAAAAATTAAAAATGTCCGGCTAACTTTACACCAATATTTTAATTATTTAATTAAAAAAAAAAAAACGATTGACCACCAAACGTTTTAATTAGGCTACCAATCATCACCAAACGATTAGATAATTTTAATTATTAAAAAGTTAAAGTGGTCCTGCTAACTTTACAGAGCTCGGTTCATCTAACCGGACTTGATGAAATTGGCTCTTAGGGCTAGTTCCCACTGAGCGCGTCACGCGTCGCGTCATGACCTTAGAACATATATAAATTGAAGGGGAATGCCTTTATTTCCCGATAGAAAAACATGTCGGAAGGAAGTAAGAAAGAAAATCATAGTTGCCTCTCTCTTGGGAGTAACTACACAACAAGCATCGTATCTGTAGTATACATACTTTTATGTTCACACACATGGCCGTGCATGCGCACTTTTGAGCAGAGTAACTCACAAGAGAGAGGCAACTATGATTTTCTTTCTTACTTCCTTCCGACATGTTTTTCTATCGGGAAATAAAGGCATTCCCCTTCAATTTATATATGTTCTAAGGTCACGACGCGACGAGACGGCAGTTCAAGACATGGCGTTTTTTGTTATTCACACTGAACGCGTCGCGGCAAATCAACGCATGCGCAAAATGTACTAGTTCGCCAGGTTATTGGTTGCAATATAAACGTTAACAGAAACATAATCTTTAAATTAAAATATAGTACAAATAAAATCTATTTCTGATTACACCTGTTTTCTGTAAAACAGTATATGACGCCTATAGACATTAAAACAGTGTATTAAATATCGGAGACCTACGATTGAAACAGAGTGTGTATAGTATGTGTGTATGAAATTATGTTATTATCAAAGTTTTTAAAGTTACTTTTTTCTACATTGCTAACTATATCACTGGCGAGCCATTTATATATGTTCTAAGGCAAGAAGGTCGCGTCGGAGATGATGCAATAAAACAGACGTTCTGATTGGCTACCTCGTAACGCGACGCATGACGCGCGCGTGACGCGCTCAGTGGAAACTTCCCCTTAGGGTGCCATGTAACAGAGCTCATTGTAAACCGGACTTTAGTCTCGAATTTTATAATTACAGTGGCGTAGCATCTCTCTTGCGTCTGGCCGTCAGTTTTTTGACAATGTAAATCGATATGTCAATTGGTTGATTCGTTGGACAAAAATATATCAATTCTATAAACAATTGTTTTTGTTTGCACATTTGTATATTATAATAGTAATGTTATGTATAACCACTTTTTTTGTAACAAAACTAGTAATTCATTGTAACTCATTATTGATACAAGATTTGTTGTGAAACTATTACAATTTACAAGAGTAATAAATTTCTCTTGCAATATTTATGCTTCTCATGTTCGACCTTTTTCATGCTCTTCTATGCGCATATGTATTGTGTAAAGAAATATTAACGCACAGATAGTTTTGTCAGTTAGTAGAGCAGGTAATGATAAAGAAAGATTTGAAAATAACATTAATTATTGCATTATTTGTAGCTTGGAGAATTTATAAAAATTTAATATTATCTTTGTGTAAGAAGAGATGGTTTAAGTTTTGCATAATCCACATTTGTATGCTTTATGAGATATTTTTTTTTCAAATTTGAAAGATGGTATTTACTATTTATAATTTTATCCACAGGAGATATCTCAAATTTGTATTAATGTCGACAATGTCTACATCATCTTCTATGGATGAGCGTATGTTAAAGGGAATAAGAAAAGTAATACCGAATCTGATCAACACCAAGTACAAAGGTCAAGATGGCAGAATTGGAATTTTTGGTGGGAGTACCGAATATACAGGAGCACCATACTTTGCAGCTATGAGTGCATTGAGAACTGGCGCTGATCTTGTTCACATATTCTGTGCGAAGGATGCCAGCATTCCTATTAAATCATTTAGTCCAGAGCCGATAGTTCATCCAGTATTGGATCAATACGATGCGATAAAGCATATAAAACCTTGGCTTGATCGGCTACATGTTATCCTGATTGGACCTGGACTTGGCAGAGATGAAAAGATATTCAAAATGATTGTTGAATTAATATCAATCTGTCGCGAAATGAGAAAACCACTTGTTATTGATGCAGATGGATTGTTCTTGGTTTGTCAGAAGCCAGAAATCATAAAGGATTATCCAGGAGTTATTCTGACACCAAATGCGATGGAATTTAGTCGTTTGGTTAAAGCAGTACTTGACAGGTCTATTCCGCCTACTCCTCTAGTCAAAATTTCCGATGTTAAGCATGTTGCGGAGGCTCTTGGAAAGAATGTAATAATTATGCATAAGGGAGCAAAAGATGTGATCGTGGATGGTCATAAGGGTACAGAGACTGTGTCATGTGGATTGGCTGGTTCTGGAAGAAGATGCGGTGGACAGGGAGACCTCTTGGCTGGTTCTTTGACTGTCTTCTGGTGGTGGGCTATTTCTGCAGGAACCAGTGAATGCGCTTTGTCGCCTTCGATTGTAGCATGTTATGCTGCATCGAGATTAGTCCGAGAATGCAATGCATCATCCTTCAAATTACGACAAAGAGGAATGTTGACGTCAGATATGCTAGAACAAATACAGCCAATTTTTAACAAGATCTTTGAGACTCATTGCAACAAGTAAATTATATTATAATCTTCTCTTTTAATTGTTTGTACATAATGCTATTTTTGTTGGATAATGTTTATTACTCTTATATTAAATAAAACAAAAGGATAATTGTGTATGTATGTAAATATGATATCAATGATTGTTATTGTTACTATATTGTGGATTCTAGAACTTATTCATTTAATGGAAGAGGTCGAACTCGAAGTACTGATTCCTGAAGTATATACATTTTTGCAACATTATATATAAATTATAAAAAAACTTTGATTAATATATTATACGAATTGGAAAATATGCATTTAAAATACTGGCTTTAGAGAAATGCTTTTACATATATATATATTAATATATTATATGTATTTTTATATGGTTTTGGTACTTTTTAAAGGCTCATATAAATAAATATTTTTATAAAATAACTGTTTATTAATATTATCAAATAATCTTTTTTTTTTGACGAAATATTTTTACGTTATTTTCTGATTACATTGGATCGTGATTACAGAATCGATTACGAATAATAATTAATAGATGTTTCCTGAAAAAAAGATCTATATACATATAAGATCCATATCATATAACAATAAAATAAAGTTATTGTAAAAACAATGCATAAATCGGTGAATAAATATGTTTTAATGTATCTGTTTAAAGTTGCATTGTTTTAATTATACAATATATACTTAAAATTCTTATTACATACGTATTATTATAAATATACATTTTTGTCTTTTTACTATATATGATATAAATAATTAAGTTGGGGAATTTTATATTTACACATAAGACATTTGTAACAGCAAAGTAATTACAAATAAATAATTAGAGACAAATCTTTACACGAATTCTGAAAAGAAAGTTTTCGGTATATTTTACTAATAATTTCTCGCTTGGCCATCATAATTCAATATGATCGCAGTAAAAAGTAATTGTGAACTTAATTCACTTCAAAATTTGCATGCAATAGTATTTTCTAACATGACAAAATGCTATATGCAAGATGATTTTTATTTCGGATATTCGACAAAAATTTCCTTGAAAAAAAAAAGATAACATTAGAATTTTTTAATCTTCGATTGATCATCACTATGGTGTTTATGTATTTTAAGTTACGGTTTCAAACATGTTCTTATCTGAAAATTTTCATTCACATTTTGTTCAGTTGCTATAATAATATATTTAATTAATTATAGTGACGAACTACACGTCGATTAGCTAAGTAATGAAAAAGCGAAACAGTGGAACAAGCGAGGGATATTGTTCTACAGGTACTAGAGTTATTTTGCTATACTACGCTTATATATACAGGGTGTCCGACAAGTAAGTGACCAAACGAAAGGTGGAGGTAGATTGGGTCCAACTGAATCGAAAAGTCCTGAACCATTTTTTTTTTTTATAATGCTTAATAAAGGAGTTATTATTGAGTAAAATCTGATCAATTAGCGCCGACCTTTAGCCGGGCGCATGTCGGTGAGCCGCGCGCCTGGTAGTATGCGGCGACGCATACTTCACGGCGCGCGGCTCACCAACGTGCGCCCGGCTAAAATTCCAACATTTTTTTATATAACGCTTAATAAAGGAGTTATTATTGAGTAAAATCTGATCAATTAGCGCCGACCTTTAGCCGGGCGCATGTCGGTGAGCCGCGCGCCTGGTAGTATGCGGCGACGCATACTTCACGGCGCGCGGCTCACCAACGTGCGCCCGGCTAAAATTCCTCTATTAACCGCTATAAAAAAAAAAAAATGGTTCAGGACTTTTCGACACAGTTTGACCCAATCTACCTCCACCTTTCGTTTGGTCACTTACTTGTCGGATACCTGTATAACGAGAGAACCTCTTAATTCTAACTTACAAATCGACAGAATGAAATATCATAAGGTTGACTTTAAGTATAAGTATAAAAACAAAGACATGTTAAGGTATTGGCGTATCTACACAATCTTTTGGCAATAAATATTCCGAATGTATATATATATATATATGTACTGTGCGCCTCTCCGCGTTAGAAAGAGATCTTTACAATGGAGACAAATTTCTCGTGGCGCGTCATCAGTTTGACGCAAATCACATTAGTTAATTATATCTAGATTACAATCGATAGACTACGAGTAGAACGTTAATACGGATGTATGATTCCCGCGGATTAAAATTGTCGGTGGCATATCTCTCGTGAGCGTTTCCAACCAGGCCATGTATAATGGTGCCGAAACTGCACCCTTCCTTGGCATCGGTAAGGACCTATCAATCACAAAGATATTTTTGCAAAATTATCAACAGCCATATAAAAGAAATAATGTAAAATAATGCAATAGCTGCAAATGGCATACGCGAATTATTTTATAAGCAATCCATTTATAAGAGAATATTATCTAAAATATCTGACAAATACAACTTCAAGAAATTGTAGATTTACAAGCACAATTCTATAGTTCAATAGTTTTTTAAATATTATTTTCATATTAATGAAATAAAATTTATGAAATCACAAAAGAGTTATTACATACAAATATGTACATGCAATTCTGTAGCGGAGATGTGATAAAGCTATTATAAAATATATTTTATTATACTCACATTATTACCAAGGTGGACTCATTCGAGTTCTCCAACAATAATTCTCGCAATCGCAATTGTCGATACGTCTTATCCCGTAAATTCTGAAGCTCAAAATCGGTAACGTAACATTCTGAAAATAATAATAATTAGTAACTCATTGAATGTTAAATTACTAGAACAAAAACTATGATGATGACTCACCCGAATTGTCGGAAGAATCATTCATTCGGAAGTCGGATATTAATTTGTCGAAGAAAAATAGGGTCTCCTGTTTCGGTTCAACGCTGATGTCATCTACCATTTTTAAACTGCTGTATTTTATTCGAGCCTTGCACATTATTTCATCCATTCTACGCGATAATATTAATAATAGTAATAATTAATAAGTATAAATAAATACAGTCTTAGAATAAGGCTTTCGTTTGTGTGACACATTATTTATTCAATTATTATTTCTTCGAGAAATTGTCGAAGTGTTTGTGCACTTTATTATAGAATTCTTTATGTTTTTATTCTTTACTTACTCTTTTTCTTGCGCACCGATATCCTGCTTATGGTTGGCAAGAGCAAATATTCTTATCTTGCAGGTTTCCCAATTAGAGCGAGTACTAATTATATACGGCAGAAGAATCGTTAGACCTATCGAATAATAATTTTTGTCATTTACAAATGAATCGGAAATTTTAACGCTCTGTATGTGAACAATTGTCTTCATAGACATATTCAATCATTGTCACATATTATAATCGTTTCCTCAAATTAAATTTTTATGAATTACCTCCGTCATCGTACAACCACCATACATCAATCGTTCCTTTTTTATGTTTCTTCTGGAAAATTGTTATATTTTCTGGTATAGAAGCCATGCCGTTGCGTTTTTCGCTAAAACGATGAATAATCAATTGTTAATAGCAAAAAAAAAATGATCTAACTTTCGATAATTTTGCTAAAATTTTTTTTTTTTTTTTACAAAACCAAAAGTTTTTGATTGGTGATGTAATTCGCAAAAATATTTTTTTAAGTTAAGTTTTAACAATATAAATAAAAAAATAAGTTTTATTTCTTAGTTAATTTTAAATGGCATTATTAAAAACTTGATTTATTAAGATATTTTATGCTAAAAATTCAAAACTGATGGATTTTAATATCGATTTCATCGAATTTTTATTAAAAATAGTTTATCTTAAATTTGACAAGAAAAACTTCCATCAATAATAATATGATAAAAACCATATTATATATTTTATAGTTGTTATACTTACAGTAATTTTTCAGCAACATATTTTTTCTTCTGTTTTAAATTTTCTCGAACGTTCCAATGTACTGGTGAATCTCTGATCATATGTATCACGTCGGTATGTGCGGCAAATGGAGTACCTGAGTAAAACAATATTAAGCTGTAATATGCGCTTATCATAGAATATTTTTATTGCATAAATTGATCGCATCATTTTAATTACAATTTTATGATTTATTTATGATATACACACGACACATTTTTATTCAATTTAATTAACTTGAATAGATTTTCACAGGCTAAAATAATGATTATTCGTGTTGAATAATAATATAAATGATGCAATTTTGTGCATCATTTATATTATTGATTGTAATTATTAATGATAGATTATAAATGTCGAGATACGGCAAGAAATTGATATAATCTTCTTTCGCTTTAATGTAATATTCATTTTTACCTATTGTGGGCACGCTCTGCACCCTAGGAATCTGCGTGCTCATAGAAAGATCGCTGTCGGCGTGCATCAGAGTGTTTCCTGCTAAATCATAACTGCTCTGTGCAAGGACTCCGTGTTCATCGTGTTCACCATTTGCATTTGTGATAGCAGAACAATCCAGACCTTCGGCGACTCTCAAAATTGCTACAGCCAGCTTGTGATCGAAAGCGTTGCTAGAAAAGAACGTGCGTTATATTTTAGAACATCCTCAGGGGGCCTGCAATCTTTTGGAATAATTTTAAAATGAGCAATGCCAGTCGACTTACTGAAGAACGTTGAAATATTCCTGCAGATCTTTGTGATTGCATGTCGACCAATGAGTCTTGTAACCCATGAGGACCACATTGGGGGCTAATTTGCCGACCCCAGTGGCCTGCATCAACGCAGCGGCGCCTCGTTCCAGACTTAAATCCTCCACCACGTGATAGAACGATTTTATACGTTGTTGATGTAGCCAGGAATAACCGCTCCTTAAACGCACTGAGCGTAGCCGATACGAAAGTCGTGTCTAAAATCACATTTCAAAATTTTATTAGCATATAAATAACGATAGAAATAATAAGCGTAAAAATGCATTATGACTATATACCGGAAAGACTTCGCCAGAAATTAGCAAGGAATGATTCTTCGTAATGAGATTTGCTAGGTGCATCAGTGCGGGTCTCGCACCAGGTGGACCGGTAAGCGCCAGGATCTGAGGAGCGTAATTCTTCACGTGCTCGTCGATGGAATTCAATCTAGAAATTATTATAAATCTCTTAGATAGAAGGTATATCGATTTAAAGTTTTCAAACAAAAAAAAGAAATACGGCAATAATAGACAAAAAAAATATTCATAATTCTTATCCGATTAATCTATTAGTTCATTGCGATGTGAGAAATCTGATCCATCTCAAACGAAAAATGTGTTATTTCAATGATACCTGTAAACGATGGAAAGTGCTGTTTTATAAGTCTGCGCTTGCGTGCTGCTGCCCCAATTCACATCCGGCTTACGATAAACCACTATCAAATACAGTGCAAAGATGACGACGAAGGTAATGAGTGAAGTCACCCAGTCGATGAGGAACATGATCGCCACGCAAAGAATAAATCCAAGCAGAGACAACCAAGTATTATAGTACTGTAAAAAAAGAGATTAATAAGAAGGCGCAAAATATTTTTATTCACAATTATAACGATGTCTAATAAAAGATTTTTTAATATCTTTTTAAACTCTCATTTAATTTTAGCAAATATTAATTAATAATAATATATAAAAATTAAGGTTTTATACTCATGTGCTGAATAGAATATGATGTAATTAAAATTTTCCTTTTTTAAAGAAAGTTTCTTTATAGATGCACATCATACAAGAGGAAAGAAGTTTCAAAATGAGTATCAAAATATTAATGGTATTAGAATTAAGTGTCTAGACGCTTTCCTGGATTTTTGTATTATTTGATTAAATCAATTTCATACTTACTTTAAAACTAGGCCGCCATCCAAGTGGACGGACCAGCGCTGCGTGAAAGGTGCAGAAATTGATTAAGGCGTACGACGCTAAGTAGAAGTTCGAGATCAGCGGTGCAACTGCGTTGAGATTGGCTGAAAGAAAAAATCAATTAAAAGCTTGTAGGATACAAAATTAATGGTAATATAAATTCGCGATAATTTGTTCCAGTTAGGCTTTCTTAATGTATTATACATTGAAATAGACACATTACCGATTAAAAGAAAGAGAGCTGCGACAGCAAATGTGAGAACGTATCCTCGATAGGGTTCCCCGGATTTCCCGTATCCTTTACTAAAGTAAAATAACCAAGGATAAATTCGATCTTGACCTAGAGCTTGAATGAGCCTCGGCACTGACAGTAAATTCGTTAATGCCGTCGACAGGGTAGCCGCGAAGCATCCTGCATAAATCAGCGGACCCCAAACAGACATTAATTGCATGACCTGAAAAAAATACGCGTTACAAAATTAAAGCGCCAAAGAATAATAACTGAAATAAAATATTATATTATAACAGTTAGTAGCATTTTGCGATCTTCTGGTAAAAATTTCAAGATAATTCTTCTCTTTTGTAAGTAAAAATTTTATAAACGGTGAACATTATATACAATTCACATCATATTCATATTACAATCTGTTTTGTTCACAGTTGCAAAATTAAATAATTTTGTTAATCAAATTAAATATTTCTGCAAAAATTAAAAAGTATACTACTCTTTAATTAGTTAAAGAGAATTCAGTGTCACAATCTTATATATTCTTTGCATTAATTTGCGGAAACATTTTCAATTAATATCAAAGCTTTAAAATACAGCTAAGATTAAAGATTTTAAATCTCTTAATACAAAAATTATCAATGTCTTGAATTTGAAAAAAAAAGAGAGAAAGAAAGTTGCAGTATATTTTCTGGTTAAATTTTTTATCTAAAAATCTATTAAAAGGAAAGATTGTGATAATTTCGATACACTATTATTTTCATTGCATATCATCGTCTTAAAATCTTACCGAGTAACTATTATGCAATCCATATTCGCATTTCTCTCCGGAAACGCATTCCACGATAGTATTGTTCACTAAACTACCTGCATCTCTGGCAGCTGCCGCACCGGCAAAGAAGACAAAAGTTACATAACTAAGCATAGAGATTAACAGGGCGAGAAGAGTTCCACTCGGTATACTGCTCGCTGGATCCTTCAAATCACCGGAGATATTGGCACCCGCTTGAATGCCGGTGACTGATGGGAAGAAAATGGCAAATACCGAGAAGAAGGTATGATTGTTGTTCTCAGAGTACCGATAGTCCGACCACAAATTGTCCATAAATACTTTCGCTAAACATATTATATATTTTTTGTTATAGATAAATCCATTTTATTACATAACATCATATGTATTTTACTATTATCGCTTTGTATCAAATGCATACTCGGCTTTATACCTACATGAAAAGCCTATGAAACCTTCCGCTTTTTGTTCCTTATTTTGTGGTCCCATGATGGTTCCAATCAAAAAATCGAGAATTGCGCCCAAGATGACAGCTATAAGGAAGTTTTGGGCCTAAACAAAAGTGCAAAGTATGTAAAATTGCTTACCAAAACGTAATTAAATATTTTATAAAATTTTATAAATTTACGATATATCTTTATATAATTTTTCGAGATAAAAAAGAATCTAATACCTTTGACTCCCATTCCATGCCGACCGCACAAATAAGAATCATAACGATAAGCGCTATTATACCGACGATTCTAATGTCATTCACGCTGTTATCTATAATCTTTAAGCCGTTTGTCTTCAGTAAATCGTTCAAGGAATCACAAAAACCGATCGTGTTCATCGAAGCTGCTACAGCATTCGCGCATGCGAATACAATACCAACCGATGCACCAAACTCCGGTCCGAGAGAACGAGATATAATAAAGTATATTCCACCTGTAAGCAAATTGATTTTATTCTTAAAATACATTTTTAAACAACGCATATAAAAAATTTTTTAATAAAAATATAGAATATTTTAAAACATTATTTAACCTCTATATATTTCGCATATTATATAATTTTTATATATAGAAAATTTATTATAATACCCTTTCACACAGGCAACGAATTAAATTACTTTTAAGGTCGAAAACATTTAAAATTAATTAAAGAAGTATATTTTACTAAGACTGTTAGATGCATTTAAAATAAATAATTGTTTAAATAATCGTCATTCTTCTAGATGGAATTTTTTATCTCTATTTTTTTCCTAACTATTTTCTACGTTAATATTCTGTCGTATTAAATATAATTTTTTCAACAAACAAGAAATATAGCAAAATTTATAGACGAAAATATAATTATATCTTGCCCATTTTAAAGACAAAACGGGCTCCCAATTAATTTGGATAAATAATTCTAAGACCGTTTTTTAGAAAGAGAGTTTGAAATAGAAACGATGTTTAAGAAAAAATTAAACGAATCAATTACGTCAAAAGTTAATAAATCTAATAATAAATCTAATTTCAAGATTCATGAATTTGACATCGCGCAAAGTGCACAAAACACTCTTAGCCTATTAAAATATAAAATTAATTTATGAGTTAAAATAAAAATTTGCCCTGTAGAATATAATTTTATCTCAAAATCGAATATATTTTCTTATATTAAATTAATATTTTAATAGTGTTTGTACGAAAATTTCTATAGTGTCTTACGTAAATTTTATAGTGATTATACACAAAAATTCATGAAAATAAAAATTTTAATTCTCCTGGGCTAATCTTTACTTTAACAAATTAAATATTAAATTTATATTTTAAAAGGCTAAGAATGTGTTTTGCACAATGTCAAATTCATGAATCTCGAAATGTATTAGATTTATTAACTTTTGACTATTAGCTAATCCGTCTAGTTTTCTCTTAAACGAGAACCGTGTAAAACCGTGATGTGCGCAATGCCACTCCTTTGAAAAAAAGAATTACAGAATACATTACTGTAACACACCTCCCTTTACTTCCCCATTAGTGCTAATTGCGCTGAGGCTAAGCGTCGTAGTGACGCAGACGACCGCCGATATTCCGATAATGACGAGGCTGTGCAGAATACCGGCCTGCGCGACTACCCACGAAAGTCGCAGAAACAGCATTACGCCCCATATGTTCAGCAAGCATGGTATGAGGACGCCTTGGATCCATCCTAATTTTATTCCAACGTGACCCTGCTGACCGGCGACGCTCCCGACCTGCCCGGTCTCGACGGCATTGGCGTCCTGAAAGCGATATTTATTTAGAAACACTATCTGCGTCGTGCAATTCGACCGAGCTGCACAAAAGATCAAATTACACATATAAAATTGTATTTAATAAATTAAACACAATTTATCGTGTCAGCATTATTCAAATATGTTACGTAAAAATATTTCGAAAAATAATTGAGATAATTTGGGTTGTGTGTTGTATGTGTCTTAAAGTAATCAGATAGCTTTCTCTCGGACTATTATGCCTTAATACACTCAAGAAGATATAGTATACGAAGATATCGAGATATAAATAAAAAAATCTTAAAAAAAATTATATTTGCCATTATTTATTCGTAGCAGTTACGAAATCATCTACATTTGTGTTAGGGAGATAATGTTCTATTATATAATATTTTACTTTACTTTATTCCACATTTTAGCTATATTACGATTATGACACTAATTTTATCGCCGCTCTTAAGCATGCAATAAAATATGTCATCAAATTTTTAATTTTTTCTTAATTTTTTCAAGTTCTTTATCTTTATACAATGTGTAAACATTATCAGTAACAATTTCGGGCGTCGCGTTGAAATATTTCAATGGCCATCAGATGCGGCGATTAAATCTCAGATTTCAAATTTCAGATCTGTTGATATCAAATTATTATGTAGTATTTGGCTATCTATTATCTATATCGACAATATGTGAGAAAATTTTTGTCATGACATAATTGCGTAAAAAAACATATAGAAAGAGAGGATGCATGCTTCTTTTAATAAGAGCCATCCTTCATTGAAAAAAAAACTATAATAATATACAAAATTAGCAGCTTCTTCTCTCTCAAGTTCTTAGATGCGTATAAGAACTCTACATCTATATGATTTTCTTATTCTCCTAGACGGATGTTTACTGCTGTGTAAACTTAATAAACTTGCTTCGCCTTGCTCGGTTTTGTTATCTCTACGACTTCGATCGTCTTCGAAATAGAGTAGAGAAATTAGAGTATACAGCGATTTTCTTATTAGCCACGAAAAGTTCAGATATAATATATTCTACGTATAAACTTTTTTAAAAGCTATCGCGCTTCTTATAAACAATTTTACCTAACTGTGACTAAAACTTTGCTTTAATATTTTTCATATATTTTGGTACTTCTTTAATAAAACAAAAATTTTACTTAAAGATTTGATTGTAGATATACGAGATACGATATAAATATTGATGTACACTGTTTTTAAAAGATAAAAAATTCATTTGTGCATAATATTGCATATTATTATTAATAATGACCAATAAATAAGTGAATGTTTTAAATGTATAGCAAAATTCTAAATATATTCTTCAAACCAGAAAAAGTTGGTAAATATTCAAATCTATTCGACCGATAAGGTCTTACCGTTGTGTAGCTTATATTATGATAGGAGTTTAAAATTACCTTGAAATAAAAGTTAATATATTAATATTTCCATTGAAAACTTTTATATTCGCGATAAAGTATTTTGAATATATGTGAGACCTCTCACCTTTATGAGATTTCCTTCGTGCAGAGTGCTCAGAGACGGTCTTTTCGCGCGACGGCTTAATCTGTAAAAAAGATCGTTGATATATTTTGATATATTAAAATTATTGTCATCAATCCAATTTATTCAGAATTGGACAAATTCTTTTCCGATAAATGTATGAAAAACGTAAATGTTAATTATTTCTTGATATCCAGAATAGGGTTGTGCAAAAAGTTGATGGTTTCCCAATATTTCGTTTTAAATGAATAAAATGTTGGAAATTGTTACGTTTTCGTGCTAAAACGAATAGACTGATATTTTCCAGAGAAAATTAATTAAACATTAAAAGTTTCTCTCTTTTCTTTAATTAAATTTGTGTAGCAATAATTAAAGAATATATAAATATAGAATTATAAACATCATAATAAACAAATATATTAAACAAACTCATATTAAACAAAATTATTGTTTAATTATTATAAAAAGTAAAATGCTTACTCTTCAAGCTATTAATTTCGATATATATCATCATAATTTAATGGTTCAATTTCAAAACTGTTATTTCTTTTATCAGTTTACAAACATAAATGTTAATTTAATAAATTCATACCTATAATGATCCAATCGTGGAACCACATCCCACAGTCCGCTCATGTTTAACGTCATTGTAGATCTCTTATTATTTTGCTGCAACTGTCCAATCATATCCTCTTCCGGTGGTTTGCTCTGAAAGCGACTTTCCATTTTGCCGTATCTGAAAAGAGCGTTTGACAAGCTTTGTTCATTTTCCGGCTGTTCTATGTATGCGAGTTATTATTCTCTTGTGCAGACAGCTGAATAAATTAAGACTAAGGAGGTAACACAATTGTAATGCAACTGCAATGTAACAAAGCTTGCAAAAAAAAAAAACTGTTAAATAAAAATAATTTATTTCGTTTGCGCGCTTTTATGTACACATACATATATGTATATTGTTTAATGTACAATTATAATGCTTATATGCATGACGCGTAATTCTGGAAATTAATGTTGGGCAACATTCAAAGCGCGATATGATTCAATATCGATCCGAAGGTCTTGTCAAGCGATAACTGGAACCGGAGATAGGGGATCCAAAAGTGACGGCCGAACTCCGACGGGTTAGCGCCCTCATCCAAGCGTAACTAAAATTATCGATAATACCGACCGAAATTATCGTTAATATCAATAATTTTAGTTCCGCTGTTACCGATATGAATATTTTTAATTCAGGATGATCCTGAGGACGTTTTGTGCTGTCTGGGTTATTAATTGATAAATTACCAAACTTTAATTCATGTTATAATCAACAAAAAGATTTTGCAAAATAAAGTTTTTATCGGTAAAACAGACCCTTTGGGATCCCCTTAAGGTCATATATGGGGGAGAGTCTTCTTCGCAGAAAATATTAAGAACATTTGCTATCAATCAATCAGACGGAGATCGGATACTCGCGATATGTATGGCTGTTACATTTTAATTAATTAATTTATACTATTGATCGGTCAAATAACTCGTGTTTCATACAACACACGTTACTTGAGTTTTACCGGAATCTATATAAATAAGATAGGTTATTATCAGAAAGAAGTTGATAAATCGCTGTTTTAAAACTGTGACATATATTTATGCAATGGCTGCACAAAGGATATTAACACTGCTACCATTACTCTCTCACATTCTTCGAATAGATATAATATATAAATGATAAATGATTGTATTTTGCGACATGCGAATTTTCGAGCAAATATTTGGCTACATTCCCAAACTTCAACATTTTGCGAGTTCGAAGATTTATCCGCAATATATGCGCGTACTATGCGATTTTCTGTGCTAACGCATTTGAAAAAGTTATAGCGATGTCTAACAGAATAATTAATGTATTAATTTGTATTTATCATTTAAAAATATCAATAACTTAAATTGATAATACATGAGAGAATAAATAATTATTTAGAGAGTAAAAACTAATATGATCGATTATGTTTCTAATTTTGATGCAATGCCAAGAATTTTACGATAATTATAGGACGCAAACAATAAATTACACGTATGTCATGTTCTCGATGCAACACGATCGATACTTTTTACGAGGTCGAGTACTAGACCGAGTAATTTAATAAAGGGAGGTTTCTAAAAGAATCTATCGACGAGACGCACCTCATTGAATGTTTGTTGACGTCAGGCACTTGTCTACGCGATAAATGTGAAATAATGTAATGGAATAATCTAGAAGAATACATCATTCACAGGAAAAAATTTCACTTTTTTCGGGATTATTGAAACATTTTAAAAATAATTGTTTTAAAAATAATTCGCAAAAAAATAGAATTATATACATCTAAGTTTATCAAAGTTCGATATCACACTTTAGAGAATTTTAATGATTTTTGAGTAGCAGTTCTTTTTATCTATGTAAATTCTATGATGTATATATCCAAGTTATCTTATAAAAAAATTATTCTTTTATAGATTTTAATAAAATTAAAATCGATTTTATCATAGCAAACTTTTACTTTGTATAGCTAAGTAGCATTTAAAAAGAAAGAAGAAAATTTGGCAGATTTAAACCATTTATATGTAATTTGCCGAGTTCTTTTTACAAGAAAAAAGGATAAAAGCATATTGTATAAAGAGATAAAAGGAAAAGAAGCTTAAAATGATGAAAAAAGAAATTTCTATAATGGGACGAATATAATTATTCTGAAAAAGATTTCGTAGAATTTGTATCACGTGCGATTTTCATGATTGATGCGAGTGTACATAATTATAATTCAATAAAATGGAAAACACGGTCAACGTGCATCGTAATTCGAAATCGATGATGAGCGCCCGCGGCGAAGCACGGTTGATTTGCGTCGGACTTATTGTCGCTTCCGGTCTGCAAAATGCATCAATGCGCGATGCCAAAACAAATAAATCCGCGAGAATCTCGGCTCCCGATGCTGCGCCGCCGAAGCCGCTTTCGCCTTTTGATATTCGCGATTTGATTTTTTACTCATCGACCCTTCTTGATAACGATGACATCAGGGTGACCATACATAAACGTGCCTCCCAGTTTCTCCCCTTATCACTCGACTCGAGGACACAAGACGAAGGGGCCATCGATTTATCTCTTTTGCATGACAGACGAGCAGATAATCGATCAAAATGATACGTCAGTCTTGCAGCCTTTTTTCGCATGATTAGATCAATTTATTGTGAAATAAAACCGTGAACGATAACGCATTTTCACGTGTATGTGCTGTTTTTGACACATATTTTCTCAGTAATCAATTTTCTGAAATATAATTTCTTTAGATGCAGAAAATATTTATGTTATGTTTCCTTTTTTTTTCTCGGCAAATGGCATAAGAAAAGCCTCGCATCACACTTTATTCAACATTCTTTTTTTGTTGTTAAATCAAATTGTTGATTAGCTATATTTGAAAAAATAAAATTTTGTTTGAAGAAATAAAAGCTACATATATTGTAATTTAAAAATTTATAATGCAAGTTTAAAGAAATTATATTTGCATTTTATAAAATAATTATCTCTGAAAATATCAGATCTATAAAATTGTGTCTTATATAATTATTATAATATGCATTGCATTAAAAATTTGATAGTATTTATGTAAAATGTAAACCAATCATATATATATGTATATATATA